TGAACGCCTTTGACCTTTTTCGTGCGGACGGTTCCTGCCATCTTTGTTGCCCTTTTCTCGATTGCTGACAAATTGTTACGGTAAGCCGCGAATACGGAAGGAGTTGCTGAGGAAGAAGTGAGGGAGTCACTCGTACAGGAAAGATAGGAAAAACGACGGACACTAGCGCTGAATAGTAGTGCACGGAAACGAAGCTGAGACATGCCGCGGTAGTGCACGGACAGAATACTGTGGTATACAGGTTAAATCCGTACCTGCCTGCTTGTTCGTGTTCGTTACCCTTGGTGCACCGATGAAGTCCGATGTCGTATAACAAGATAGTCATATAAGATCTGCCATGCGGGATATTGACGCCGACCTCAAACTTCAGTAATTAACCTTTTATTCCTAGATGCACAATAATAAGCACACAGGTTTACAGAACGATTAAACTCATAGTTAAATAGAATCTACCTCTTATTGCTGGTGTCGCCTTATAGTGTTAAAAGGGGCAATTTTATGGTGTAGAAATTGCACTCCTAAAACACTTCACTCCAATACAGCGTGAGAGGGGAAAAGCAGAGAGAAAGCAGTAGAATAAAAATAAGATAATAATAAAAACTTCCTAATACTAATATAACTTAATAATTATGCATATGATTAGAGAACAATTACATTCAATACTTATGATCACAGTGCAATTGTCAGAAATGTGATTAATAAGACGATATTGAATAGATGCACTGTACAGGCACTGTTTTTATTGGCGGATACAAAAAAATGCGTTCCCTCTTCTCAACAGCAACAGTTGAATAGAAAGGAGGAAGATGGGACTTTACTGCGAATATTGCAGAAGGTTCCGAAAGACAATGAGGCGCTACAGTTCGAGCCATCCACATCATCCTCCGTACAATGTGCACTGGAAGATCTTCCGGAACAGCAGCGAGAACATATTGCTGACGTGAGTTCTTCGAAGTCCATTGATTCTTGACGTTCGAGATGAATCGTACTTATGTGTGGGAAAGTGAAGTGGGTGGGCACTGCTGAGTCTATCTTCGCACGAAGACTGGGTTCTTCGTCACACGCGCAACAGTTGGTCGTTTTGAAACTGTCATTTCGTGTTTCGAGCAGATTTTCGTGTGGAATAGGCTCCGCTATGCGGCTACGCGTGCGTGCGACCAGTATTTCTTAAATAGTTGATATCGTAGTGTTTTCACACTAAACGGTTAAACCCCGGGAAAAAGGGAATGCTGATAACGCTTTTTGCAACGTCCCTCAACCTGGACCTCCTATTGCATAACTCAAGTGTTCTAGATGTTTTGTAGTTGCTTTACTGTTTTATAGGTTCTCCGACGAGCGGAAGAGTCTCGACGAGCCGCTAGAGTTGTAGTCGATGGCCGGCACCTGTCGCGTTATGGGCGGGTTCGAAAGATGAAGTTGGATCCGGATAGACAATTCAGTGTTGAGGAGATCTCCGAAGACAGCTTGGATCGCCCCGATCTCATCCAAATGGATTCCATACCAGAAGGTTACATCCGGCCTTTCATTTCATTGTTGAAGACGGAATGTATGCTCATCTCCAAGGCTCCTGATACTTGCCAAGGGCGAGGTGAATGGATCCGCAGCTACGATGTAACTTTTCACGCTCAAAAGTGCGTGGGATTGGGGTTGGAGGGTAGTTCTTGGAGTTCTACCGGGTTTCTCTTGGACTTTGTCTGCATTCCCAGGGCCAGCCACACGCCTAACCGTAGCCAAAAGCGTTAGTCGCCCGCGCACTCTCACGCCAGGTTGTTCTACACCTTTGAATGCGCGTTCACTGCTCGGTTTTGATATCGACACAAGTGCTGCACCTTGAGGATAGCGCGGGAGGAGTTCCAAACGGCACCCGGCTGCAGCCTTACTTCCACGCGCTCTCAAGAGGCAAAAGATTGCTATATAGCTAGATTGCTAGATTTGTTCGGCCAACCTCTTCTCACTTATGGCAAGGAATAACCTAGGAGATGAGGGTACAGGTACAGCTTGTCTCAAACGGCACAGTCCACGCTGACTGATTGTGTGGCGGAGAGACTTGAATGCTTCTCTCATTAGTGTGCTTCTTCTCTTTGCAACATGGAAGCAGTGACCCATCAATGAGGAGTGCTCAGTTGTCAATGTGGCTCTTCCCATACTGTCATCGCAATTAGTGCCTGAAGGTATGCAGGGTCCCAAGAATCTCAAGATGTCAATGATTGCAGATGTCACGGTTACGTTAAGCGAAACTTTGCTGTCAATCAAAGTGCCTTTAGTACGACAGTATGGTGTGGAGAGCAGCAGAGGTAGTGAAGGTAACTGCCTAACTTCTAAATGGTTCAATTTGGCGTGTTTTACAAGCTGCTTCCAGAACCTTCGGAATGGTCTCAAACGAATTTGAGGAGTCGGATAGAAATGTTTGGAAAGCGCTTATCGAAATGGTTCGACACACTCGACTATGATGGCGATTTCATGAATGTTCAATGGGTTTCAGGTATGCAAGAGCAAACATTTCAGAGCAGTTGCATTAATGCGTGTAAAAAAGTGGATAAAGGCGTCAAGAAAAGTGAAGCCTGGCAGTGTCACCCGTTTCCGTTCTCTTTGTTACTTTCGCTCCGATCGTGCACTACAACACGTTGGAGTAGCCCGCGTAGCTCTAAATTCCCGAATGGATGCGTAGGAGTTAGTGAACCTCTCCCGAATAACGTACTCTAATAGTCCTGCAAAGTTATGAAAGCATTTACGACACTAATCAAGGCATGCTTCCGGTTCTATGGTTGCAGCTTGTGGTTTATGGTTGTGGTTTTTGCGACTACTTTTCACCTCGACTTCCTTATGAAACACCTTACACTCGACAACTGATCAAAGTTGCAAAAGACAACAGCAGAGGTTACTCTAACATGGCAAGCGTCCACGTATCTTAGTAGTTAGGATCTCGCTCGGCAGACGGTAGTATATTGATCCATTCCCCATAAACGCTAAAGTTTTTGCTTTTCTCCGATGAAAGCTTTCGCTTCAATTTTTGATTTCTCTTCTGGCTGGCACCAAAATACACTGGAGGGCCCAATAAAAATAGTCACTTTTCTTCCTTGACTTTCGAGGCGCTATAAGTTACACTTTATTAAATTCTGATCGGACATTTTCACCACCATATTGAAGAGCATATTAAATACTATCATGACACTCCGCCACAGCCTTCTGGACGAGCGCCATCGAGAGATTCTGGCACGCGACCGCGATGTGGTGCCTGAGATCAGCGAGATAGTCGATTTCTCCGCCACCTATTGAACTCCGCCCGAACCGGGTAATTGAGGGATTCAGGTCAGGTGACCTACTTGGATATTCCATCTCCTTTAGGTACGCCCTTCCATTCCAAGTAGGCGAGAGTTTTTCCAACGCCCTCCGATTCCATGTGGTGGCACCCAATGCTGTAGCAGTACAAAGTTTACGGGCGACGACATGTGGGGAGGATATTCTTCTCGAGTTGCTCGATGTAACCGCCAGCGCTCACCTTCAGTCCGGAGTCCACGAAGAAAATATGGTCTTTCCATTCCAGGTACGTCCGGTCCATACCATCAACCCGCGCCTTGGCGACTGTGGTGAAGATGATGTCCTAGACCGTAGCGACGTTGTCGGAGCTGCTCGATGTTGGAGGTCTTCCAGATCGAGAGTACTGGTCTCCAGGTAGCTATCCATGGGTGACTCCATACTAGAAGTTTCGCAGCTGTTTGGAGGTGACGTGAATTTCAAAGGTCTTCTCCAGTCAGACTGCGACTGGAGATGACTTCATATTTTGGTGTACATGAAGGTGATGGGCGAGAGCCAGCTCCTGCTTATCGAGGAACATCTTCGCCCTGGTACTCGTATCCACGTCCTCTGTCTGGGCAGCGAAAACTTTGCTGATAGACTCGGTCGAAGTGACTTTTTTTGTTGCCCCCCCCCTGTAGATTCTGTAGGTCAACATTTGGCTTGGCGGCCTCAATTCGGATCACTGTTGTCTTATCGATTTCTACTCATAAACCATGTCTTTTTCTCCTGCGAGTGTAATCGTGGTAGTTATTCTTGAACTCGGATTGGCTGAAGAAATGCGCTGCAAGTTGAATAAAAGCGGAATTGTTGCAAGGTTCGACACCGTGCTACGGTATACGGGACGCAGTCACAGCTGAGTTGAAGGTGAAACGGATGAGAGCGTAAAATCTGATGTTTCTATCGAATCCAATACGAGTTGTTGGGATGATGAGAACGAAGGGAGTTCCAGCGCAACTGTAATAGAAAACGCAGTTTTCTTTGCAATTGAGATTTTGAGATAGACGAGAGTATCTCGTTTCAAATTAAATTCGAATAAAGTAACGTTCATTGCTATTTCATCCTCCTTAAATACAATAACCTTGGATGGTAATTCTAACTGAGCGTTTCATCGAAAACGTCGAAAATTGAGCAAGAAATATCCATCGATGAGGAGGCAAAAACTTTAGCGTTTGTGTGGAGCAAACCCACCTAATACCACCTTGACAGCAAGAACTCTACCACAAACAAGGCTACGGTGCTGTGTTGGTCACCAAGTCTTACGTGCCAACCATGCACCTCTTCCCCTCCTCTTCTACCTCTTACCTCTAACCCCTCAGAACTTGCGTGTGAGATTTTCGTTGCATTTTTTTACCTGCATACTCGAATGATACTCTATCGATGTACCTAGGCCTCCAGTCAAAGTTGAATGGGAATTTGAAATCATTTCCTTGTATGACAAATGCTTTTTGCCATCGTTACTTGTACTTTTTTGGCGTCGTTATTTGTTTTACGTTTACATTTTACACATTTCAGATTCTCAATCATCTCGTGTTAGTGAAAAGGTCTTATTATTTGCTGAAGTGCTCTCTACTGGTGTTATTATAATTGCCTTATTCGAGCTCTATGAAAGCTCACTAGAACGCTCATACTTACTGCATTCCTATTGTGACGATCTCGTCCGTGCCATTATTGAAATGATATTTGCCGATCTCGAACAACTCACGATGGTGCGACTGCAGGATATCGCTCCAATCCATGAATTTTGCTCGCAACTTGTGCTACACATTTTTAATGAAATTGATATTGACGATCTTAAACTAGATACCTTGAACACTTTAGAGATTCCGTACGGTGAGCATAACACAACCCTTGAATTACACTGGAAGTGTACCAATGATGCTTTCTTTAAGGAGACACTTTTCCTTCAAGATCATCCACCGCCTCACCTTTATCTGCGTGTTATGAAATACTTCGCGCTGACAGCGATGCTTCTGCATCTTACAGCAGCACCTATTCATCATTTGACTACCCATCTGAGCCAGAGCCGACTCTAGATTATGTCGATTCATACGAGGTTGACTACAAAATTCCTGATATTTCTACTTTGCAAGCCGCTGTTGCTCTGACTGAGCCCGCCCAAATCATTGATACACGAAGAGCCATTCAATGCAGAAGCTATCTCTACACTTGCTGATCAACGCGAAGCGTATCACGTAGTGCCGGACCTTTCTTGGCTGGAAACGTTGGTCGCAACTGATGTCGACGATAAGGAATCTGAACGACTAGAGAGTCGGCAAAAAGAAGCGAAGAAACGCGACTCATGGAGCACAGATTTGGAAGAACTTCGTGAAGGTATTGAACAGGTCATAAGATATGAACCTGAACAACTGGACGACTCCTCGTTGAATCCTGCTTCTCAAAAACTGTCTTCTTTCATCGACTCGACATCAACTGTGGTCGGCTACACTTCCGTAGTAAACTACGATGAGGAAGTCAAGGTTAGCAAGTCACAATGATTTGATATTCATAACTAGCAAATTTATATATTTCTAGCAACGTGTGTTATGGTAGCCTTATAGAGAGTAAATCCCGTACACATGCATGGAGCGGGCCTATCTACTTCATTGGTGCGCGTCATTGTTGAGAATCCTTAAAAAGACACTGCGCGGTCCTCGGACCATGAGAGGTGGATCCATTGCGTGCGCGAGATGGGCAGGTCCTAGTACTGATGGTTCAAGTGCTTCTGAATGCAGTAATAATGGAGCTAGATGGTGCAATTCCTGTCAAACGCTGGAACGAGTACAACAGTACTGAGATGAAATGGCGGAGTCAATACGATCTCCCTCCTAAACAAGATCTCGCTCCACTAGAGCAGGTTATTATTCGGACCCCTCTTCTGGACGGCAGGTATCCTTCGCTAAGGCAACTGTAACTATCTTAGAAGCGGAGTATTTGTGAGACAGAAAACAGCACCATGAAGCGCTAGATTCATTGTTTTGCCATTGTACTGAATTTTCTCCGCTCACTAAAACGCGTTATGCTCCTCTGAAGGCTAACTCTCTTCTGTGTGGGCACCGTAATCGACTTCCACGCTGATATGGTTGAAAAGAGTAATATCCACACAAGGCTTACATGAGCAAGCTGTAACCCAGTGGACTAAAAAGGTTTATACCACATTAGCCTTCATTTGTTCTCCTATACTGAATCACCACTGCCCTTACGATTTCCTTTCCCAAACATGAGCCCCTTCAGATTTTTCCAGAAAGGTTGCACCCTGATGTTCCTAATGGCATGCTTGCCATTTAAAGTGCCCTATAAACGTTGGAGCCACGCCATATGGGCCATTCGTAAGGTAACAATCAAGCACTCTGCAGCTATTATGAGTTGTATGGCTGGCCGTGTGGCGTAGCTTGGCACACTGCGTGCGTACCATGTAACTCATGACGAGTGCGAATGACAGGAGCAGCGAGCTATCACAAGCTTCTAGGCTCATTGCCACGCACTTTTGAAAGGCAGGAGCGCGCTTCTTTTGCGTGCCTTCACATCTAGCGCATGAAAAAGATCCACCTCTCACACAATAGCTCAGGTGCAAGTGTGCCATTAGTAGGATGTATTGTAAGCTGACTGCTACAGGGATCGTGTTTGGCTTGCTTGGAGTTGCCAGTTCACCGTCCCTCCAACTTGCCGGTGGAATCGCCGTCTATCTCTTACAAGGGAACCCAAACAGGTCGATCCCGGCTTAATATTCAATGAGTTACATATATATATATATATATATATAATATATATATATAATATATATATATATACAGGGGGGGCCAAAAAAAAGTCATTTTGCCTCCATGACTTTCAAGGCGCTATAAGTTACACTTTATTAAATTTTTATCGGACATTTTTACTACCATATTAAAGAGCACATCAAATACTATAATGATACTCCGCCACAGCCTTCTGGACGAACGCCATCGAGAGATTCTGGCACGCGACCGCGATGTGGTACCTGAGATCAGCGGGGTAGTCGATTTCTCCGCCACCGTAGACCACCCTCTTGAAGTCCGCCCGAACTAGGTAATTGAGTGGGTTCAGGTCAGGGGACATACTTCAATATTACATCTTCTTCAGGTACGAAACGCCCTTCCATTCGAAGTAGGCGGGAGTTTTTCCAAAACCCTTCGATTCCATGGTGGCACCCAAACCTGTAGCAGCACAAGGTCTCCAAGAAGGTACGGGCGACCACATGTAGGGAGGATATTCTTCTCGAGTTACTTGATGTAACCGCCAGCGCTCACCTTCAGTCGGGGTCTACAAAGAAAATATCGGTCTTCCCTTTCCAGGTACCCCGGTCCATACCATCAACTCGGCGCCTCGGCGAATCACCAAGAGGAGACGACGATGAGTGTCCTAGCACCGTAGCGAAGTGAGGAAGCGCTGCCTCAGATGTGGGACGCTCTTGCCAGATCAAGAGTACTGACCTCCAGGTAGCTATCTGTGGATGACTTCATTCAAGAAGTTTCGCAGCTGTTTGGAGGCGACGTGAATTCCAAAGGTGTTCTCCAGTCAGGCCGCGACTGGAGATGACTTCATATTTTGGCGTACATGAACGGCGATCGGCGGCAGCCTGCTCCAGCTTATAGAGGAAGATCTTGGGTATCTTCCACTCCTGGTACTCATATCCACTTCCCCTGTCTGGGCTGCGAAAACTTCGTTGATATGTGGCTCGGCCGAAATGACTTTTTTTTTTGGCCCCCCTGTATATATATATATATATATATATATATATATATATATATATATATATATATATATATATATATATATATATATATATATATATATATATATATATATATATATATATATATATATATATATATATATATATATATATATATATATATATATATATATATATATATATATATGATATATTTATTTATTTATTTATTTATTTATAATGCACGCATGGGTGCGCTACATGTCAATGAAAACAGATAGGTTACAAAATGCAACAGTCAATTGTCATGTCAGAGGAAAAATGAACAAAACGAAAAAAAAAGATACAAATATAGCAACACAAATTCACATGAGTAAGAAACCACTCCAGACTAGAACCAAAAAGAATCACCTAAAAATCCTGCAATCCTAACAAATTCATCAGATCGACCTTTTTTAGCTTACTTCTAAACGCATAGGTGCTAGGCGCCCTCTGCAGGTCTGATGGCAGGGACTGGAGCCATCTCGCTCCTCGGAAAAATAATGAGTTGAAAACCCTGGTTCGATGCCTTCTGTGTAGTTTAGGACATTGCAAGGACAGCGAAGAGATGCGGCCATTGGTCGGCCTCAGTATCCAGTACTTACTGGGTTTCAACCTTAGCTCTCCTTTCAATACCTTAAAACAGAACACAATATCATTAAACACTCTTCTATACTTCAGTGACTTTAGATTGAAAAGTTGCAGGCGTTCCCTGTAACTGGGTAAGCTGCCTGGGTATGCAGGGTTGGGATAACACCGGTACATCAAAACTCTGTAAAGTTTGCTGGACCTTTTCGATTTTCGCTTGAAGTTTCCTGGTGTGAGGACTCCATATTTGCGAACCATATTCAAGTATGGGGACAACATAAGCTTTGTATAACTTCAAGAAAATCGAAGAATCACTTTGTCGGACATTCCTGAAGATGGCAAAAAGGGTCATGAAAGCCTTCCGAACAATGATATCAATGTGATGCGTAAACTCCAAACTGGAACTCACATGAAAACCAAGGTCACGTACTTCATTTGAAAGGGTAATTGACATGCCGTTTACGGTGTACGGAACAATCCTGGCTTCTCCCATATGAAGAACAAATGTTTTTGAGAAATTCACAGGTATTCCCCACGCAGCAGCCCACTCCATAATGTTACATATAGACTGGGTCAACGCACGGGTGCACACGGAGTTATGACTATCGTTATCATAAACGCCATATATTTTTATGTCATCTGCATATATTTTGATCTTGACCAGAGGGTGAGTATCAAGATAACCGGGTAGGTCGTAGGTGTACGCTAAGAAAAGCAACGGTGACAGCACACCTCCCTGCGGAACTCCACTAGTACAGGAAAAAGTCCGCGAGAAACTATCACCCACCTTAACAATCATATGCCTGTCTTCCAAATAAGAACGAATCCAGCTGAGTATGGGTCCTTCGATTCCCAAAAGCCACAACTTATGAACGAGCTTTTCGTGGTTCACTTTATCAAAAGCTTTGGACAAATCAAAATAGATTATATCCACACCTTTGCCCTCATTAATAGCAAGAGTCCAATCAAAGACACAGTCCGCCATTAGAGTGCTTGTGGAAGCCCCGCTGATGAATCCATGTTGTTCTGGTGGAATCAGATTCTGCTTCGTTAGATGTGCTACAATTCTATCCCGCAAAATCTTCTCCAGGGCCTTAGCTGGTGTAGCAGTGATACTTATGGGACGAAAAGAAGAAACGAGCTTAGGCTCGGAAATCTTAGGAATAGCAGTAATGATAGACTCTTTCCAACTCAGCGGAATCTCACTGAACATTAGAGATGCGTTTAGTATCATACAGAGCGGTTTGCATAAAGAGAGTGCACAGTTTTTGTATACTACTTGTGGGATCCCGTCGAAAGGGAGCGAAGTTGAGCTCTTGAATGATTTCAAGGTCTTATATACGTCCTCAATGGATACCACACAGTCACTAAGGATACTCAAGCTCTCACGGCCTCTGAGACATGCATTCGGAACAGCATTGTCATCTGTGGTGAAAACAGAAGAAAAAAATTCTGCTAGAGCCTCAGCTTTTTGGACATCAGTCAAAAAAGCGATTTCCGGACTCGTCTTGAAGTACAGGTATACATGAGTGTGGCTTTATCTTATATTTGATCAACGCGAAAATACCTCTTTTATGGGAACTAGCACAAACTCGCCTTTCCTTATTGGAAAGAAATTTCCTTAGATGATAATCAAGCTCACGGCATACTTTCTTGTACTGGAGAGCGGACAGTGTGTCATGACGTGACTCATCAAAGAGCCGTGCTTTCTGAGCTAGTAAATTTTTTATATGTCTCGGGTATTTGGTTTGTGGCCCATTTT